GGGCGGGCCGCCTGTGGGAGCGCGGGGAGGCCGGGGCTGGGGGGCTGGCGGGCTCCGGAAGCCCCGCCGCCCGCGCAAAGTCCCCGCGCCCGGCCCCCGCGGGCGGGACGTCCCCGCGCGGCCGCGACACGCCCCTTCCCGGCTGGGTCCGGGCGGCGCGCCGGGCGCACACGGCGCCGCAGCAGCAGCAGCCGGCGCGGCGGCGAGCGCGCGGGACCCGAGCCCGCCGCGTGCTCCCTGCTCGTCTCCGCCCGCCCGCGCCGGGCCGGAAAGCGAAGCTGCTCTGGAAAGTTCTCGGAGCCCGAGCGCAGGTACCTGCCGGGCGGCGGGCGGGGTCGAGACCGCGGGGACTGTCCCTCCGTCGTTTATCCCCCGCTGAGGGCGGCCTGTGGAGGGGTTTTCGGGGTGTCGCCTGGAAAGCGTCGCCCGCTCGCGCCGGCCCCAGTCACGGGCAGCGTGGCCCTGGCTGTGTGAGATACCGAATATTTATAAAGGAGGGGGCGCCGAGAGGAAATATCGGGGACCGGCGTGTCTTCTTTGTACTTTTATGCCCTCCGCAAACTTTTTCTGGTCAGAAAACACAAAAGAACCCCATTCCTCGCTCCGGGCCGGCTCCTGGGTAGAAACACGGCAGCCCGCGCTTCTCGGCGCTTCCCCAGGTGGAACCGCCGCCCCGAGGGGCTGCGGGCGTCGGGCCGGGGCGCCGGGCCGGGGCGGCGGGCGGCCCGCGGGGAGAAAGAAGACACCCGCGCAGAAAAACGCCCGGCTTGCCCTGAGGTCGTCCTCTTGCTGCGTTTGGTTTTCTCCATTTTTTTTTTTTTCAAGACCTGCGACTTGAGTAAGTATCGGTTCTGCTGAACAGCTGTCTGCGTAAGAGCGCTCACAAAGTCTCCGAAGCCACACTGCAGGGCGACACTGCTGACAGGGGTGAGGCGGGAGGTCAGCTGGGTCTTGTTCTGCTTCCAAGTTCCTCCTCTCCTGTTAGCGCGCTTTGCTGTTTGCTAGGGAGAAAAGCCAGTTGGTAAAAGCAGAAACTTCGTGCGTGCACACCACCCGGAGACATACTCTCTCTTGAGAATATCAGTGGGGACCCAGGGGAGGTCTGGGGGCATGAAAGTAAAAGTGTTAGAGGGTACCTTCCTTGGTACATTGCCCAGCACAAACTCCACTATTACCGGTCAGTCTTGTTTTGAAAAACAAAGCACGAGAAATCTTGTGGGCATGCATGACCACCCGGGGGCACCAAACTTTCTGTTAAACTGCTCAGACACCTGGCTTCTTTTAGGAAAAATATCTCTATGTATTTTGGTTCATGCCATTTGAAGGCCAACACCCTTCTGCAAGGCGCGGGTGGTGTGTCTCTACCCGGCTTTGCAGGACCTTACAGCTGGTGTGGTGCGTGCCTGGGGGTGGTGGAGGTGGAGGTGGCGTTTGCACGTGGGACCTCTACACACATCCTCTCTTCCTTCCCCTGAGAGGACTTAGGAGCCTTCCCTTGACGCTAACCCTTCTCTTCTTAGCTCTCAGCCTCCCAGGCCGTGTCTGCTTCCTGGTGTCTCACACAGAGCTGGACTCTCGGGGCCGCAGCACCCACGCCTTCTGTGCTATGCTTTCAGAGACAAAGCCCCTGCTAGCCGCGCTTGTTTTTATTTCTGTATTTATTTATCTATTACGCTTCCTTTGTTAATATAGATATTACTGTTTGTCAGACATCATCAGTGTTTTACAACTTTTTAACGTCAGATACCACAGTTTACCACTTTGATGATACATCGCTAATCCTCAGCTCCATTCAACTCCATAAAAGTGAATTTTATGGAGTGGTTTGTAATCACAAACTCCATGGTTTGTGATTTTGTAAAGAAAATGTTTATTACATGTTTGAATGGATATCAAGTGCACATGGTATAAAATTCCAAAGGTATCGAGTGTGCAGTGAAAAGTAACTCTCCTTCCTACCGGTGGGCCTCAGTTTCTCACTCCAGAAATAACCAGTTATCACTATACAACCTCATTCGTCTTCAGATTCTTTGATAACTTATGACTAACAGATTTCAAAAAGCTGTTTTGAACACCTACGCACCAGTGATTTTTTTTAAGTCTACCAATTTTAAATATATTATTTCAGTTATTTGTTAGTTTCTATCTTTTCTGTTGTTCTGCCGACCACTCCGAAATGCCAGGGATTCAGGTCACTTTGCAGAGGGACCTTGTGGCTTTGGGGTTTAACAAATCGATTTATTTCTAAGTTCCTTGAGGTCAGAGACCATGAGGTTAGAGAGCATCAACTTTGGTGCTCCCCAAACAACCTGCCACAATTACTGCTGAGTGCTAGGTCCATGCTAACATTTATAGACCCAGGCTGTAGGGAGAACTGATATTCACAGTGACCTGGTGCTTTGGAGCTATTTCCTCTACCGGGCAGCACTAACCGGGTATTTCCCTCCTCATAACAAATAACCATTTAAAGCACTTACTATTCTTAAGCATTTACCTACTAGAAATTTAAGTGAAGACATAAAAGATAAACGTTGCAATTATTTGTTTATAACTATTAAATTTATTTAACCAGGTTTTACAATTCATAATACAACTAATTGTAATAAATGAACTATAGATTTTCTTTATGTATATGTCCTCCAAGGGTATTCAAACCAAAAGGATTTTTTATTTCCTGATTTTCTTTTTAAAACACAGCTGTCATATTTTCCCTGGGCCCAAGTTACTCTATTTAAATGAGAAAGGAACTGAGGTTTCTTTATGCTTTCCCCAAATCATTTTATTGTCAATGATCATTCCTTGTTATTGTCCAGATTGTATGCATGGTCTTATAATCAAAGCTAGGAATGAAAAATAAAGAGATGAGAAAAGGTAATACACCAATTCTCATAGGGCTCTTGGTATATGATTTCATATATCTGCTAGTTAATTTCAAGTAATCTATGTATTTTCTTAAAGTCTAAATAAATCACCTTTCAGAAGTTGCGCAGCAGGATATTAGGATCAAAGCTCTCAATGCCTCAAGTATAAGCAGGAACTAATTTTGTGGTTTAATTATTGCAGGTGGATCTTGTGTACATCATGACCAGTTTTGAAGATGCTGACACCGAAGAGACAGTAACTTGTCTCCGGATGACTGTTTACCATCCTGGGCAGTTGGAAAGTGGAATATTTCAATCAATAGCATTTGGTAGCCGAGAGAAACTCCCTTCCAGTGAAGTGGTGAAATTTGGCCGAAATTCCAAGGTCTGTCTTTATTCTTTTCAGGACAAACAGGTTTCCCGAGTTCAGTTTTCTCTGCAGCTGTTTAAAAAGTTTGACAGCTCAGTTCTGTCTTTTGAAATTAAAAATATGAGTAAGAAGACCAACCTGATTGTTGACAATAGAGAACTGGGCTACCTAAATAAAACGGACCTGCCATACAAGTGCATGGTCAGGTTTGGAGAGTATCAGTTCCTGATGGAGAAGGAAGATGGAGAGTCACTGGAATTGTTTGAGATTCAGTTGATTTTTTCTTCAATGTCACTCTTACAGGAAAACAACTGGCCATCACACAGTCCCATACCTGAGTATGGCCGTTGTTCATCCTGTTCCACCCAAAGCTCTTCTCCTACAGAAATGGATGAAAATGACTAATGAACAAAGGGTCTGAGATGAGAAACATGAAGGATGAAGAGCTCTGTAGACGCCTTTTAGACACTATTTATTAAGAGCTTATTAGTGTGGTATATTGTAGTCATCTGTTATGCTGTCAGATTTGGGATTTTGTTTTACCATTTTAAAGTCTGTAAATTATATTAGTCATCAACTGAGTCACCTGTTGCCTTTGTGGCTCTGTAACAGACCTGTGAGGGTTAATGTAAAAAAAAAAAAGAAATCCTTTGTGATAAAATAGTGTTCTCAAAATAAGGTTATATTATTTTTTCTTTCTGCTTGATTTTCCTCCCGTATTTTGTTTTGTTTTTGTAAGGAACTGTCTTTTGGTTTGGTCACATCATTTCACAGCAGCCATGTTTTCAAGTTCAAGGCTCCAAGCAGGTTGTTACTGGTGTTCTTAGCCTGTTGGTACTTGCAGGACCAGAATCCTGGAATGCATTCTGGACTAGTATCTGTATGTCACTGTGGTTTGAGTATGGGAAGACTTATTTGAGAAATGATACTTTGTTTTTCTATGATTTTCTTTATAGCATTGTAGAGTGTACATTCCTAAGATGTCAGTTCTTTTTCTCTATATCAACATCCAAAATCAATATGTAAACATTTTAAAGAACCTCTGTGTTTAGAATTTTCTCACCAAATTTGATGTTTGATTTTTATGTACTATATATAATTTTAAAATTCCATGAAACATTTTTAATAGCATCCACACTCATAATAAAGTCTAAATGTAATTTACTAATAATTTTCTTTGGAACTCTTTCTAAAGAAGGGGAAGAACTATTCTTAGGCCACTTTACATAGGAAAATATATGTGAACATTTATAATAAATGCCTAAATATTTCTAAAATTTTATCTTCAGAAAAAGTTGTCTTTTTTAAAAGATTCTCATTCAACTCACTTTAACAAATGTAGTTAGTGAATGTTAAATAGATAATAGTAACCATTCAGTTAAGTTAAATTCTAGCATTACCAGCTCCCTATAAAATTTTCCAGGTAAATAAAATTTCCTGCAGTAAGGGTCCATATTTTTGTAACAACCTGTTTAAAATATTTTATAAACTCTCCAGCCTCTTACAAAAGAGGTTTTAAACCTTTTCTTGATTCAGACACCGGTCACTTGTGGGCTGTAGTATATGACGTCCATTCCCCAATCCTGGGATTATTCCAGTACAGTGACACATTTGTTATCATACAAAGTGGCCTGAACAACTATTTCAGTTCCTGTGTCTAGTTTTCCTGCTTATTCCCTATGGTGGGCATAGCAATGGCTTAAAAAAATAATTATAAGTCAGGAATCAGAATACTTGCATGTTCATGGAGTAAAACCAGTAATAAATAATTTATTACCTTTAAATGTAAAAATGTGTTTATTCACAATCCTTGAGAAATTACCATTCCTTCAAAAAATTCTTTAGGAACAAAAAGCCAAGAAAAATTACAGTAGTAGCTTATGCCAAACCAAAAATATACATCTGATGTATACAAACTTTAAAAAGCATTAACACAGGCAATGTGAATATAGAATACCTTTAAAATATTTCCACTGACATAGCTACGACTTAAATTATTTTAAGACACATAAATAATAGCATTACCTAATGTGTTATATTTACATATTTAAAGTCATATTTATTTATACAAGATAAAAAAGGAGATAAAACTACAGATGTCATTGCTTAGCAGTTCAAATATTGAAAGGGCCACATGATTTTTTTAAGTACAGCAAGAACTCTTAGTTACTATTTATATCTGGACCTTCCTATATTTTGGAAAACATGCACTGTCATTGTTGAAAGAAAAAGAAAAGAAAAAAACACTAAGGAAAAACTGAAAAACAGTTTGCTTACTAAAATCATACTCAGTCCTCAGCAAAATCAAGGAAAGCAATTAGGGAGTGTTTTATATCTCTGGCCTTTTATACTGATACATAAGCTTTAGAGAAAAGAGTTAATTGCCTATCACAAAATGCAGTTATATACATTGATATACTTAGTTTCATCCCATTAAAGTACCTTGTACTACAAGGCAAAGAAAAGCTTAATAAAGTCAATGGAGCCTTTCATACCAGAAAGGATTTTATTTACTTTGAAATACCCGTATTCTCCTTTCTTAAATCATGCAGAGAATATGTTCTGTGTAAAATCTTTCTAAGATCATTCATTGGAAATATAGAATTTTAAAAAAATAATAGTACCTAGAAACTTAATACTATATATCAATTAACTTAGTCAATATAGTGGCATGTAAGATGAACTGAAAAACCTAAATATATATATTTTCTTAAATATTATTTATGATTATTATCAACTTGAAATGTCCAAATTCTGAAACTTCATTTTTATATTATCCTTTCTTCAGACTGAATCAACATTATCATATTAGGATGTGTAATAAGTGTAAAAAGAGGCCAACACTTAGCATTTCTTAGAGTCATCTACTCAAATTAATTGTGCTTACTGTTAGATAACAAAATTCAAAGAAGCCATAGAAATAAATAATGCTGGAAAAAGGGAACACTATTCTAAATCTGACTGAAAATCCTTCCTCATGCTCCCTTCACATCTGCTGAGAATTAACAAAAAAGACTCTTAATATTTTTCATAGATAACGAAATAGGCTTAATAAAGCATTCAAAGTACTAAAATTTTTTTAAAGTGAAAATCTGTAATAGTAAACAGGAATGCTATAAAGAAAAGACTTAAATTTAACTGGTAACATGACAGGATCATTAAATTGGTGTTGAAAAGCAGAAGGCAGATGATGAAATTGCACTTAATTCTGAAGCAATTCAGATCTATCGTATCATCCCTACTCCTTTCTAATAAAATAAGCATTTACAACATGGTCTCTTACCTTCCCCTTACAAAAAGGCTCAGCATAACCATTTATACATTCTAGTTGGTCTTTAACATTTGGTCATAACTGATAAACAGGGTCACACTATTTTATCCTATCGAGTCTGTTGATCTGCATCAAATTGCCTTATGCCAGAATCAGACAGTTCTAATACAGGATTTACAAATCCAGAATACTCGGAATTGCCATTATCATCCATTTCGGCACTAACAAAATCATTCTCCCACTCCAGCCCATTGGAATCATCAGAGGCTGATGTAGGATTACTTCCAGTCTTCTTGCTGCTGTACTTAAGTGCTGCCCGGAGAATGTCTTCCTCTGTTTTGGAACGTTCTCTCATTGGAAGCATTCTATTCATTCCTATGATTTGAAGAAAGTTTTTAGAAATCTCAGTGAAGATAAAAAGCTATATTAAGAAACTTAATCCCAGGTTAGCATTATAGTCCTTATTTAACTATCAGACTTGATTTGTGACTTAACTTAGAGTCAGTCTCATGGAGGCCTTCTTAAGGGAAATTGTTGGGGTTTAATCTTGAAGTATGTCTTAGATAAAAATAAATATTACTATATCAAAGGGCAGTTTTGATGCAACATTGATCATCTGATAAGATGAAATTTCTGAAGAGCCATAAATAAAATAGAATGGATGAAGGATTTTAATTACTATTAGTCTTAGATGACCAAATTGGTATGCCTACCCAGATGATTATTTCATTTCCCAGAGAATGAAAATCACTCTAATGGCAATGATAACAACACACACTTTCCCAGTACTTACTAGGTTTCTATTAATGTTGTATGATCTTTACATACATTAACTAATTTAATCTTCAACATCTCTATGAAGTACAGTACTATCATTATCCTCATTCTGTAGGTGAGGAAACTGGTGCAGAAAGGTTAAGTGATTTGTGCAAGGTCACACAGCTAAATAGTTGTGTAGCAAGAATTTTAATCCATTCTGGCTCCAAAGTCTATGGTCGTATGCCATTTCTGACTCTGTATCACAACAAAGTAGAGATATTTCTATGGGAAATTGTTAGATCTAATTCTGAACAGAATGAGACTTGTTGGTAAAGTTAAAGTGTAAAAAATTTTGGAAGAAAAAAACAATGTCATTTTATTGGCAGAAGGAAGGGAGAGGGGACAGAAAAGAAATTTGAATTTGTAAGTACAGAATCAACACTGGTAACAGAATTAAAATCTAGGATTGGCAAAGGGATAAGAGAACATCCCTAGATACATTTCACGATTTTAACAATTTTGTTTTCTGACCATAAAGAATCAGATCCTACTGTAATAAAAGAACATTTAAATCTGTACCACCGTCATCTGTCACTCCTGAAAAAAATCACAAAGACTCACTCCAGTAAAGCAAGTTATTTCTATGGACAAGATAAAAATATGAGCTAGATGCTAATATAATTTTGTGGATTTATATCTGGTGGGTTTGTTTCTATGGATTTATGTACATCAACCTAGAAGCAGATTTCCAGTGGGCTCTGTTCTCTACCTAGTGTAGTTTAATAGGTCTGTTAATAACTTGAATAATGACCTAGAAAGTTATCTTTAAATCTGACAATGTGGATGACAGAAACAGTGATTAAAAGATCTGAAAGGCTTTAGAATTTGAACAAGATGCCAAAATTACAATAAACTTAAAGTCTGATGATTGGGGCCAGGTGCGGTGGCTCACGCCTGTAATCCTAGCACTCTGGGAGGCAGAGGTGGGCGGATTGCTCCAGGTCAGGAGTTTGAGACCAGTTTGAGCAAGAGTGAGACCCCATCTCTACTATAAATAGAAAGAAATTAATTGGCCAACTAAAATATATATGGAAAAAATCAGCCGGGCATGGTGGCGAATGCCTGTAGTCACAGCTACTCGGGAGGCTGAGGCAGGAGGATTGCTTGAGCGCAGGAGTTTGAGGTTGCTGTGAGCTAGGCTGACGCCACCACGCTCACCCTAGCCTGGGCAACAAAGCAAGACTGTCTCAAAAAAAAAAAAAAAAAAAAAGTCTCATGATTGGGATCCAAATATGCATTAACATTAAGTATAGGATTGAGAAAATGGTGTCTAGCTGAGAAGACTTAGGAAAGTTGATGCAATCTTTGATAAAGTTATTCAAGTTCCCCGTGTATCTATTTATTGATAAACCAAATGGCTTGACTCGAGGGTATCTAAGGTCCATTCTATCTCAAAATTCTATCAAATGTTTAATGCTTATTATTTTTCTTAAAGCTCTGTATTCTATAACTGAGTCTTCTCTTTTGGATTGCCTATTTCTTAAAGTGAAAACAAAAACTTGGGCATTATTCATTATTTTTTTTTTTAAATCAACATTCTAGCTACAATTTTGAGTACTTAATGTGTGCTATATGCTGCATTAAGATTATGTGTGTGTGTATATATATATAATTTAATCCTCACAACATTCATCCATTCGTTTAAATATTTATGGATTGCCTATTATGTGCCAGGCATTTTTAGACCCTAAATACATAACAGCAAAAAATTATCTTTTAAAGTAGGTTTAGTATTCCTTTTTTATGATCAACAAACTAAGAAATCTACCTAATGTACCTAATGTATGAAGACTTGCCAGCTAAAATTTAAACTCATATCTGAGTTACAGCTTCTGTTCTACCAAAAGTACTAACAATTAAATCACTAATTTATAATGAACCAAAATTTAACTAACTTTTGGCTGTAGACTGTCCACAAAGGAGCAATAATCCTTCATACTGAGTAATATCATGGGCTGGAATGTAAAAACCTTAACGAACATATATTTTCTAAATTTCAAGAAACAAAAGTTAAGCAACTTTCTAAACAATTTATCAACAATGATAATCACTAGTACAATAAAAATTTTATATCATTTTTCAAGGCCTTGCACTTATTCCCATTAAATAGAGTGAAAGACCAAGATAGATGATTTATATATGCAGTTTAAGTTAAACTTTTCAGGTAAAATTGTGAATTATAAAATACCTTCTTCATCCTCCCACTCGAGATCTAAGGATGTGCTGTCGTCATTTCCACTAGTTGATTTAGTTTTGGTCATTAAATCACAGCTGCTTTCTGTATTTGGTGTCAAAACTGTGGCATCTGAGGACAGTCCTAGAATATATACCAAATATAATTAAATGCTGTCATCTTTACTCTTTTACCACAACAGCCATTTTTTTAACAATTGTCTCTCTCTAAATATTACTATTCCTTTTAACTTCATAAGAAACATTCCTTAAAGTCATGACATTGGTTAAGTTTCTGTATAAGGGTTTCATTTCCCTTCTGTATAAGGGTTTCATTTCCCTCCCTCCCTCCCTTCCTTTCTCCCTTCCTTCCTCTCTCCCTCCCTCCCTTCCTTGCACAACAAACATGCAAATTTAAATGAATTTTAAACTTTTCAAATATGATGAACTCTAGGTAATATTTTTAACAGCCAATTATAAAGGGGGACAAAAACCAAAAAAAGGAAAAAAAAGATAAATGAAAAACAGCCTACATTTTCAAAATGAACCACCACTATTATGATTCCATTACTGGGAAGCATAGGAGTTTTGACTTTTGAAACTTCAGGAAACGTTTTAATCTTATAAATCAATTTATAATAAGTAAAAATATAAGTACACCTTTCTAATCTTCCTCTTACTCTTTTTGGGGGAGGGAAGGGGAGGAGGAGGATTAGAACAGAAAGGTGTGCTTGACTCCCTGTATGGATCTACAAAAAAAGCCTGAGATTTTTCTTTGTTCCAACTTGCTTTTAAAAAGGGAAGATGATGTTGTATAATGACTACTTAATTGATCTATCTGGGCCACACAAATTGAAGGGCAGAAAGTTCTTCTATAGAAACGGAGCCAGAATCTGCAATCATCTGTTTATTGTGGCATAAAAAATTTAAATGTACAGAAAACACTTTAAAAGACTTACTACTACTTCGAAAGACTTCATACTGTGACTTTACATTTCTCAAACAAGATTCAAAGTCATCTTCTGGTCCTGAACTGTAATAAAAGTGAAATAATTTTTGTATATATTCACAGCAGATGCAACATAACAAATGCTTAAGTTAAAGATGGCCTTTTGGTTTCAAGGCCTATCTCATACAAATTCATAATTGCTGTACAGTTAGAATAACCTACCTAATGAAAATAGGTCTTAAATTGGGGTAATCCTGAAGTCAAGTCTCCAAAGATTAGCCATAAATCCAACTTTACAATTTACAATAATGAAGCACGATCAAGGTTCTTTGAATGAGTAGTGATACTCAAGGAAATGTGACATTGAAACGTCTCTTCCAAAAAGTGCTCCCATATAAACGTTATTATAAAGAAAGAGAGGGATTAAGGAAAATACAAACAACTAAGTTGTAAATAAGTCACCTAAAAAAATTCAGGTGATATCAGGTGATAAATCAGGTGATACTATTGTATCACTTTCTACATGGAAGAGGTGAACTACTCTCAAAAATGCAATAAAGACAATTTAAATACATGATGATCACTTTTCAACTTAAAACAGATGCTTTCACTTCCTCCAAGATAGTATCTTTTAGAGGCAATAATTTTTAGGGACAACATAAATATGAATATGTACAAAAACATCCTGAGGTGACTGGGCTCAATGTGAAAATAAAATTTTCTACCACAAAGGGAAGAAGAAATGTGTTTCACTATTTACCTTTGATGTTCTCCATTGTTGGAAGGATGATATCGATGCACAATTCTCTGCCTTTCTTGCTTTAGAAACATAATGTAATACAAAATCACTGTTGTTAAATTATATTTTTTAAAACCACTGATATGATACCAAAAAGCATTTTTTCTAGTTTCTAAAAAAAAAAATCTTAAGGTTATTTGGTTGAACTCTTTTTCCTTAAATTCATCACTATTCAATTCTATATTCTCTTATTTATGGGTAGAATTTTTCTCAATTTAGCAGTGTATAGTCTATAAGTGGTCAGAATATGAAGAGTATTATAAAGAAAGTTAACTTTTTAATCAGATACATATTGGTGTCCTTAACATTCTTAGTACACCTAAGAACTTCCTAATAACTGGAAGGATGATGATGAGAAAAGGAATAGTTAATACATTAAATTCTATTGTGGGTGAAATAAGTAGCAAAAAAACAAAGGATTTATAATACCTGGCTAAGTTGACTCAGAAATAATAAAAGCAATTGACTAGGATTTAGAAGAACTGTTAGACTTGTGGATCTGACAATTATTAGCTTTATATCCCTGGCATGGCCTTTACCTTTTGTTTCTTTTTCTGTAAATTACAGATGGCTATATTACTGACCTAGCAAACTCAGGGTTATTATGAAAATCAAATGAATTAGTGGGTATCTGTGTATCTGTGTATCTGTGTGTCAGTGTATGCTGTATAGACAGTAATGTGTTCCTGTTCAAATATTTAGTCAGGGAAGAAAAAACTCAGAGAATCCTGGAAATAACCCAAATGGATGCTGCATATGGAAGACTTAGTCTTTAAAAGGCAGACAGTAAACAAGTTATTACAGTAAAAAGAGTACTGATATTATAACTAGAAAAATGCTTTTATTGCTTAGAAGGTAAACATTAATTTTTAAACTTTTCCATTAAAACAGAACTGACTAAAAAGACACTTCCCTATATAATTTAATAAATCTTCTGAAACATTGAGAGCAAGAGAGAGACAGAGAAAAGACACACTTCACACAGAAATCCCATAATAATATGTTAGACGTGATTTTTCAGTTACTCTAAGTTTTGTTATGTGACATGATCTTTGTCCTACTTCAGTTAACACTACAATAGTGAATCCATATAGGCAAAATATGGAAGAAGATACTAAGTAGGATACTGGTTAAGCACTACTGTGCTTGAACTCTGGCTCTGTCACTTATTAGCTGTAGGATCTCAAGTTATAAAACATGTCTGCCTCTCAGTTTCCTCATTTATAAACAGGGATTAAAAACACTATCTCCTAAAATTGTTGTGAGGATTAAACAAGGTAAAGCACATAAACTGCTTAGAATAGTCCCTGACACTTAGCTGGGGCTCCATAAATGTCTGTAATTTATAGCTGTGAGGCATTATGATACTGCCATGTTATCATATGCATGGTAAGATATGGTAAATCTGCTGCTTTCCCTGATAATATGCCGAAGATGTGTCAAGACGCAAACTACCAATCTTCCAAGGACAGAAGATAAAGATGAGAAATAAACAAAATCCTTATAGGGCAAAATCACACAGCTTATCCAATTCTAGGAAGCACAAGAAATCCTGGCAGTTTAAGCAGTTTTTTTTAAAAAACACCTCACAGGAAACTATGAAATGCTTTGGAAACTATACTTAAGGGCTAGTTTTGCAATGTTTTCACTCTAAGAATGTATTTTTAAAAAAGAATGCTTAATTTTGTAGCACTAAAATATATCTCTAGGATAAACAGGAATTAGCTTCTCCTCATGTGAAGCTAAATTGCATTGTGTATCAAGTATGTACTTTCATGTTATTTCTAGCTGTTAAAGACAGACTAATTTGCCTTTAAAATTCCCAAGAGTATATATATAAATACATTCAGCCATTAAACAAGAAGCCCTTGATTTTAGGGGGAAAAAAGTCCTAAGATCTGTCAGAGAAAATAAGGAGAAAAGCAACCCTAATGTATGTCGGGGTCTTTTCCCCTCACCTCCAAGAGCTTTCGCTGCTTTGCTGCCCTGGCTGCTTCACGCTGTGCAGCGTATAAAGCTTCTTCTTCTAGTCTTAACTTCTCTTCTTGTAAGGCTAACTGTATATGAACAAAACGATAAGGATTAACAAAATCAGAACCTGTCTAACTGCTCTAAAAATAAAATGTTTCTATTTATAAAATAAAAAATAAATTATTAAAAAATAATTGATCTCTACAAAGCATAACAGAATTGAAATTTTTGTGATTGTTCATTTCAATGTCTCCTTTTACAAAATAACCCGAATGATATGAAACACATTATTGAATTCTTTAGAAATTGAGTTACAAAGCAGTAGCATCCAATTTGTATAAATACAGAACAGTTTCTTTAGAATGTATTATACAATGATCTTCATTCTCAGCAATCATTCCAACACTTATCACCTGGACAAGTTTTATGGTTTGGGCCCTCATTAAGTCCAAAGCCAGATCTTTAAAACGAAAACCAATCATACCATCATCTACCAAAGTGAACTAAGCTTTCATAAAATTCATGTCTCTCATCTAATTAATATCTCCTTAATTTTATTACTATAAAACTATTCAAAAATTACCTTTAAATTTAAGTTCTTGCCATTCATAACAGCGTACAAATTGCTTTAGTGATATCTACTGCATGTCAAAGCTAACTTAAAAGTCAAATTTCAACAGTCTTTTTTCCTTAGACTAATATTAGTATCTATTATGTAGCTTAAGTTAATGTTTTTGAAATCACTAATTGGTACTAAACAGACATTTAAATGTATAACAGAATATGATTAATTCTATTTAGTCTAGTGATAGCAAAACTATAATTATAGGCCCTTTCTACAAATATATTAAATAACCATAACCCTTATGATTGTTAGAAGTACTTGGTTCACTGAGAACAAATAACCAAAGACAAACAAAAATGCTTTAAAAAAAACTACTTATTGTGAAATAGTAATATTTTTAACAGTTGGTTTTAAACACAAAGGTGTATATTCTTGCCAGAGTTCCTACTTGCGAATTAAGAAATTATTTTTTTAAAAGAATGTACTACCTTCATTTTTTGGCAGCATATGATTTCTGAAAAATTAAACCAAACTATAAGAAATTATAATAGGCTGGAATAATTTTACTTTTAAATCATTTTCATCTGTATATCTAAATACAGATCCAATGACTATATGTAATATATGTAATGACAAGTCTCCCCTATAAATGAACCTTATGATAACATATATTTAAGCCACATAAAAGACTATTTACCTCATTTTGAATTTTCTTATCAAGATCTTTCTGTTTTTCAGCAATAGAATCATAATGCCTCTCTCTTAGGTCAATAATTTCTTCCTCAGTAAGAGGCCTAGTGGAAAAAGGAGGGGGACAAAAAGAAAGAAAAACCAAAAAAAAAACCAAAACAGAAAACTTCTGATGAATCTTAAGTCCACACAAAACACCCATAAAGCCAGTGAAATTCTGAAATTTGCTGTAAAAAACGTATTCAAGCAATTTGATACAACTTCAATTGTTAAGAGTAAAGTATACATTCTAATACTTGCTATATTCTAGTATATAAATGGAGAAGATGCTATATTATCAGAGTAGTTTTTAGCACTACAACCACCTTTTAAGAAATGCGAACTTAATTGAACTTCACTGTGGCTGTGCTTTATATCCAACCTATGGGTGTATACAATGAACTGTGTCCCAAAATGCTTATCATGAAATAGAAACTTCAGTATGCTGCACTCTGACCTCACCCCTCACACCATTCTGAACTCTTAACCCTCATATTTACCCTGCTCCATCACTCTTGTCTCCCCAGGCCCTTGGTCCTTCCCTTTTCTCCCAGTCCATCTATCCCCGTCATGGCCTGGCCTCACTCTGCTGACGACCACCACCATGGCAGAGCTGACCTACTTTATTACCAACACATCCACCGACACACACTCCTGTCATTACACCACCTTCATTACACTACCTGTCATTATACCTATCATTATACCACCTGGCCTCACCCCACTGACATCCACCATGGACACTGTGGCAGAGCTGACCTACTCTCTTACCAACACATCTACTGTCACACACTCCTATCATTACACCACATTCAAGCAGTTGACTCATGGCTGTGGAGCATTTCCACGATTAGCCCTTTCTGCCGTGGGCTGCTAGAGAAAAACCAAGGTCAATTTGGCCCTCAGCAATAGTCCATTTAGTTATATGTAATCAATTCCCTCTCGCATCCTACACTAACAACTTCAAAATCTTTACATATTCAAGTTCCTTACTCAAACTTTTTTCTCTTAAAAGAAAATTTCACCCCAATTTAAGAAATGGGGAGCATCCACCATGAATTTCCTCAACTTCTTGCCATTCCCCCACTAACTTAATTCTATCCCCCACTTTCTTCCCTCCATCCTCTAAAGAGGCAATGTTTCTTAACTTGTCCAGGCTCACCTATTATACTTACACTCTTGATACATTCATCACTGAGGCCACCTCCCCGGCTCCACTCCAGAGAATTTCTCTGGGATATTGCTATATTAATTAGCACCTCTTTTTTATCTTTTTTTTTTTTTTTTTTTAAGACAGGTTCTTGCTCTGTTACCCTGGCTAGAGGTGCACAGTGTAACCTCAACACTCTGGGCTCAAACTATCCTCCTGCCCCATCCTTGAGCCTCACTGGGACTACAGGTGTGCTCCACCATGCCTGGCTAATTTTTTTCTATTTTTAGTAAGGACAGAGTCCCTCCTGGCTCAGGCTGGTTTTGAATTCCTGACCTCAAGTGATCTTCCTGCCTCGGCCTTCCAGAGTGCTAGGATTACAGGTGTGAGCCACCACGACTGGCCCTCATTTTTGATAATTACAAGAATGTTAAGGATCACCAGCTCAGCTATTAATACTGATGATCTTTCTTCTAATGCAGACACTATGTCTGGAGTGTCTAGCACAGTGGTTGGCACATGACAGTTTCTTAATAAATCTTTGCCACACTAAAAAAGGAACATACATTCAAAATATGATACAGTTTATGCAATATTCTCTTGAAATTAAGAACTCTTTTTTTACGTAAAGATAGATGCTTCTTTTTCAAGTAGCACATGTAAAAAATTAAAAAAGCTGCTTAATAATTATAGTATCAAGGTCTAGTTACTATCAGAAAGATGTAAAAAGATTTAAAAGATCTGTTTGAAAATGTCTTAAGGAAGGAAAAGGGGGATAAGTTAAAAATTTAAAAGATATTTATCAATAGTAAATGGTTTTAAGAAAACTAAAAAACACAGAACAATTAGGTTCTAGGAAAGCACCTAGGCACTTATATACATTAAATTCTTTAATGTTCAAACAATCTGTTGAGATATGCATTACTTGCCACAATCTTTCAGATGGAAAAAAACTAAGGTTCTGAAATGTATAACTGTTCAATGTCTCAAAGCCAGTAAATGATAGGGCCTGAACTCTAAGAGAACTTCTTACAGTTCATATAAAAGTTATTTTTTTTCAAAGCCTTACCTATGACTGCTTCCTGGGCTCTCCCCCTGTACAAAATTAATTAAACATTAAAAAAATTCACTAGCTGAATTCTATTTAAGACAAGTACATTTTTATTTAGCCAAAAATTTTCTACTCACCTATTTTTATCACAGTAAATAAATTTTATTGAAACTGTTTGAAACAAAAAGCTTTAAAATTTTGCTATTTTTCAAAGGTGAAATTTAGTTTAATATTTAGCTTAATTATGTAGCAACCATTTGGTGGAAATTTTTAAGTTTTTCTAGCAATTGTTTCTTATATACCAAACGAAATGGGTCAGGATGGTACTAGACAACATACTCCTCATTATTTGGATTCCATATTTGCAAATTTGCCTACTTGCTAAAACATATTTGTAAGCTTTCTTGGCCATGGGAGGACAGGCACAAAGCAGTGAAAAATCTGAGTTGCCTAACAATGCACATTCCTAGCTGAAGCAGAACAAGGTGGCCCTCTACCTTCTTGTTTCAGTTTTCACACTGTAAACAGGTGTCCATTTTACAGTCTATGTAGTGCCATATTTGCAGTTTTGTGCTTTTCTGTTGGTGATTTTGCTGTCTGAAATAACCTCCAAGTATAGTACTGAAGTGCTGTCTAGTAGTTTTCCTAAGGGCAAAAAGGTTCTGATATTTCCTTTTTGGAGAAAATATGTACATTAATAAGTTTTGTTCAGGGATGAGTTAGTGCTGTTGGCTATAAGTTCAAAGTTAACGAATACACAATATATATTAAATAACGTGTCTTAAATAGAAACACATAAGAAATAAGTTTATATATATACTGATTGGTTGATGAAAATGTTCTGACCACTGGCTTACAGGAACCTAACCCTACATTTCTCCTAGGAGTAATGCTTCAATATTCACTAATTTAGCATTTATGGTGACTTTATAGAACATAATTACAACAAATAATAAAAATCAACTTTTTGTTTTCTTTCACAGGATTATAAATTATCTATAATTTTGTCCTCCACAGCAAACCATACATAACTATTTTCAATGTTGATTAAGGTTAATGCATATTTCTTTTCTTTTTTTTTTTTTTTTGAGACAGAGTCTCACTTTGTTGTCCAGGCTAGAGTGAGTGCCGTGGCGTCAGCCTAGCTCACAAACTTCTGAGCTCAAGCGACCCTCCTGCCTCAGCCTCCCAAGTAGCTGGGACTACAGGCATGCACCACCATGCCCAACTAATTTTTTCTATATATTAGTTGGCCAATTAATTTCTTTCTATTTATAGTAGAGACGGGGTCTCGCTCTTGCTCAGGCTGGTTTCGAACTCCTAACCTTGAGGAATCTGCCCACCTCGGCCTCCCAGAGTGCTAGGATTACAGGTGTGAGCCACCACGCCTGGCCGGTTCATGCATATTTCTTACACATTTAAACTATTTTATTTATATATGACAACTAAAATAAATGACTAAGTTAACAGCAGGAATAAAATTCCAAATGGTCCAAATTAGTTTAGGAAATAGTACAACAATATGGGATGACATTCAACTACACTAAATACAAAATATGACATGAGAGGAAAAAGTGGTTAACAAAAACAACAAAAATCCCTCAACCAACCAACAGAATAAAAAGCATCTTAGGAAAACACATGGCATCACAGGTTCTTATGAAAAGCAGTATGATGCTAGAGTGAACTATGCTGGAGGCTGGAAGAACTCTTATATTTAGCACTTGTCAGAAGCTTTAAAAATATGTGTCCAGTGTTTGCTTAAACTCTTTAAAAGAAAAAGACATGGAGATTAAAGTGAGCTTTGAGAAGGGAAAAAAATAGGTTCCATGAAAATGGGTGACATTTTAGTGGGGAAAAAAAAGGTAAAATAGTTTCCAAAATGTGTTCTACCAGACGATAAATATATATTATTATTTTAAAAAAGAATTTATACCTACATTAATTTGGGAAATGCTGAGTTGAAAAAGTTTAAATAATTTTGTTTAACAATAGTTCTTCTCAGAATCTTATGCTAATTTATGATTTGAGACCAATATTCCAAATACATTCTGAGAAATGCTGGGCTAAAGAATAATTTAAATTTTTAAAGGAAAGGTTTAATACATCTTCTTTCCTTAGGAAACAAAAGATGACAAAAGGTCAGAACTTGCAGTGTTCTTCTGGTCTAACTAAATTTAGAGATGTAGAAAATAGGCTCCAGGGAGGTTGAGTAATTTGCACAAACTCATACAATTAGTGAAGGTGGAAATTAGCACACAAACCGAAGCTCCTCTAGCTATACCAGTGCGTAAGAAGTATACACCACATTGCTTCTTGGCTTTTTGGTTACGATCAAGTGTATACATGTATACTACATTTTGCTGATTCTAAAATGTATTTTTTTTTTCATATTGTAACATTGTTGTATTTGGGATACATCTTAAAATTGGCCAAGTTTTATATGAGATGAAATATAGAAAATCAACATAAAAGATAACTGATAAGGAATTTATGCATGTTTATTCTACAGTCAGTTTCTGACTTTAATCATTATCTCTTTTTTCCTTTCTCATGTCCTATTTTGTGTTTAGTTTAGTTGAGTGTCATCCTGTTTTATAGTACTTTTATCAGAAGGAATAATGGTTAAAGTCAGAAACTGAATGTGGAATAAACATGCATAAATTCCACCCTCAGAAATACATGAAAATTATAATTAAAGAAAGAGTCTATTCTGGGTTGTTGAGGTATGTTACCTACCCGGCAAGAGATTAGAAATATCACTTTTTGAAGGTCGAGTTTCATATAGTGCTTTAAAACCTGTATGTGTTGGGTGTATAGTATTATATAGGTTGCATAGTAAAAAATTCTGGATTATTTGCTAATATAAATTAGTAAAAGAAGGAAATCACACAGAAAAGACTAAAAAGTAAACATAAAAACCAGAAATTAAAATTCTAAAACAAAATTTTAAAGTATTGTAAAAATAATTAATTATTAGAACTAATGAGATGACTAATGAGAATAACAAATACAGGTTTTACACTACTATGGAAATACTTACTTCATCACTTTCTACTAGATTCTCAAACTGAAAGAACAAAAAAAGTAAGTGTTAGGAAAAATATCTATCTAAAGTACATATCTCATAAGAAAATATGTCACTTTTTTTACCTTAAAAATAATAAACCTTTATAAGATATTTAAGTCAAGTGCCTTTTTACATATCATCTCATTTGATATTTTAAACAATTCTACAAAATGGCCAAGGCAAGCAAATATATAATAGTATATTTATGACTTTATAAGAATGAAAATCAAAAAGGAGAATTACAGTAATTTTCTGCATAAATCAGAACTAAAACTTTATCTGAATTGAATATTTCATACAAGTATTTTAAATCCACACTATCAGAATTTTGCACTTCAGTTCAAAACAAATTATTTAATGTCAGAAGGAAAATTACTCAAGAAACAGGGACTAAAAAGATAACCAAATAAAAATTTCTCTAAGTGCTTATAATTATTCATCTAGTCATTCATATAATTATTTACTGAAAATCTACTAGATGGTAGTTACTGTCCTCAAATACAATGTCTTTTTAGAGATAGGAATGTTAACAATTCCTATAATGTAATTAATGCTATTATGTCAATGACCTAATGAAAGTCATTAGTATTAAATTATATTATTAAAATATTTGCATTTTAAATATAAATACTTGATAAATAACCGCTTGAAAGAAAAGTATTTTATTGTTAATATTGTTTTGTTTAAAGATTGAGAGAAAACAATGAATTCTAAAGGTTTAGAAAATTAAAGAACCTAAAGACATGATAAAACTGCTCAAAATTATTATCTTTATTTTTTTTACTGGTTATGATTTTTTAAAAAACTAATTCCTGTTTTACAGGCTTCCTTATTAATAAAGAAGGCAGTGAAGCAGTGTTCAAGCTTTGGAGCCATGCAGTTTTGGACTGGAATTTAGATTCTACCACTTAGAGGTTTTGTAATATAGCCCAATTTCTCTACCTGTCTAAGCCTCTGATTTCTCATTCATATAATAGGGTGGCTACCACCTGTTTACAATAGAGTTGCAATAAGAATTATGTGCAATGACATTCCTAACCTATAATGGAACCAGAGTAGCTGCTTCACAGTAGAGAATGAATAAATGACAGCAGCCATTATTATGTTTTACATACAAAGATAAAGTGACTCAGTGATTCTGGTGTGGAGTGGCTTAAAATCAATTTGCTGCTTTGATTCTGCTACACCTCTTGCTGGAGCAGGCCAACTATCTTTCCTTATAACTGCTGTCATAGTGAGCCACTATGTGACTGAGAGAAGAATACTTGCAGCCTGATTTGTGTCGGGTGAAAGAAAATAAAACCAAAAACCAAATCTTTAGAAGAATAGGACCTTCATCTGCAAATTTCTCCCTATTTACTCTTCCCTCCCACTGCTGCAATTCTTTCTCTCTTCACTTGCACCAACAATATTGAAATACAGTCCATATTAAATTTGGGTCCAGATCCTTCCCCCTTAACAACAACAACAAAAGTCCCTTCTGTCCTTCTGAAGCTACTTTTAATCCAATCAAATTCATGACTACTTACCTCTATAGTTAAGTGCTCACCTCTTGAGCATGTTCTAAAATACTTGGATCTGGGAAGAAAAACAGAAACATAAGTCTAAAATGGTATTTATATAGTGGCACAAAAACATTTTCTTAAGAGCAACTTTAAATTCTCTAATATATAGTATCTTATATTTATAAAAAAGAACAACCAAGTTTACCTAAGAAAACGGCCCAGATTTTTAAACTTTGTTACGAGTTTGTTTAGTCAATTAGTATTTCTTTCTACTGGTACTAATAGTTACTAAAACCTATAATTATAAATTAATTTATTTACTATATAGAACAGAATACATTTTAAAATTTATCTCATTTTTATTATATAAAATAAAAAACCTTATTAAAAATTCTGATATGTTAAATAATATATAATAAAAGTATATTCCCAATTTTGTTAAACATACATAAAACATCAAAAATCTAAAAGGATATATGTCAATATGCTAAGAGTAGTTATCTTTGGATGGTGGAATTATATATCTTTTTTTTTCTTTTTAATTTTTAATAGACTTTTTTTAGGGTAGTTTTAGGTATACCAAAATTAAACAGAAAGTACAGAGAGTTCTCATGTGCCCCCTGCCCCACTATCGGCATCCCGGACTGTAAGAGTTGTGTTTTTCTTCAAACATAGTTTTTCTTTTCTTTTCTTTTTTTTTAAAATTTATTTTAGCTTATTATGGGGCTACAAGTGTTAAGGTTACATATATTGCCCATGACCCCCACCCACCTTGAGTAAGAGCTTCAAGCATGTCCATCCCCCAAAGGAATCATATATCTTTATACGAGGCTTTTTATTCTGTTCCCATGCTCTCACAAATAAAAGAAGAAAAACAATGCATATACATGTTAACCAAACAATCCATTACATTAATTTTTCCAACTAGGGCCAATTATTAACTTTATTTTAATCATTCTCTTCAGCTCCTACTAGAGAAACTTACATGTAGTCAAGCAACAATCTTCTTTATTATATTTGCTCCAAAGATATGTCTGTACTCTAACTACTAAAGTATCAAAGTTAGTATAGGATAGAGCCACTCAAACTGCTTTACTACTGGAAGTGCCAGCAGATAAGACTTTCACCCATAATGTGGTTCTTGTCACAGCTGCCAAGAGTGATGGCAGAGAACTCCACCCGACCCATGCCTCACCCATAGGGATCCAAATTCAAACTAGGGGTTCCTAACATGTTAGGATTCTTGGACAAAAAGTGGGATAAAGCAAGGATGGTTAATGGGTACAAAAACATAGTTAGAATGAACAATATTTGATAGCACAACAAAGTGACTATAGTCAACAATAAGTTATGGTATACTTTAAAATAACTACAAGAGTGGAATTGGAATGTTCCTAACACAAACAAATGATAAATGCTTGAGGTGATGGATACCCCAATTACTGATTTCATTATTACATACTGTGTACCTGTATCAAAACATTACATGTACCCTGTAAATATATATAACCATTATGTATCCATAATAATTAAAAATTAGAAAAAAAAAGAAATGAGAAGAATCCCTGGGTTAGGACAGGTCACAATGGTATTATGTGCACATGTGTGTATGGAGGGGATTGATTTAGTGAAAGAGAAAGCCATATTATCATGACTGAAGAATACAAAATAGCAGTGAAATTACAGGTACTATTTTTTCTGCTACAATCTTTATCTGCTGATAGATGCTAAGTTGTGTTATTGTCCATTAAGAGATCATTGGTAAAAAGCAAAGAACTTGGTATTGGCATCCCACAGATCTCATTTCATCTCTTATAGTCAACATAAACACAATATCCTTAATTCTCTAACCACCTAATGCCTCTACTCTCCTCTCTTTCTTATCTCTCAAACAAAAACAGAAATGAGTTGAATCTTTCAGTAGCCCTGTGTTCTGGCATTAGAACTACTACTACCTAAGTGCTATATGCTTCTCTCCTAGCAATCATCACTCTCTTCCCTGAATGAAGAATCTGTCTTTAATTAATCTATTTCCTCTTCCAGGTATACTGAGTAGTATAATTAAATAATGAAATAAAGTTCAGTAATACTAAGTATCTTAATATAAGCCATCAGTATGACTTTACTACTATTGCAAAGCCTAAAGCTAAGTGAACACTGTCCAAATCAAGGGAAGTAACAGTGGCACTGCACTTACATTAGATTGCAGAACACTGTATTCTCTTTCAATGATACATAGATATTACAAGCTCACTTTAATAGAAGCCAATAGGGTTATCTGTTGTCAATGTCTCCCTTTTCTGTTCCTTCTATCCATACCCAGCTACAATGAGGACAATCATGTTCTTACATAACTCTGACCCCCTGACCTAGCTAGACCACAGTCAATCCCCAAGACCTCATTTGATTGGTTCTAGGTTATATGGAAACCGAGCAGGGAGAGACAATATACTCCTGGAAGCTCTAGAAAGCTTCCTTACAATCTGCAATGAGAGGAATGAAATCAACTGAAAAAGTGCTCTGACAGCATTAAAGTCACCCCTAAGGACCAGCTGCATCTCTGCCATGCTCACAGTTTGGTTATTACTTGAGAAATCTAATATCCCTATAATAAATTCTACCTTTGCCTAAGATAGTTTGACCTGGGCTTCTGTCCCCACAACCAAAGTCCTAACTAATAAACAAACACAAGTCTAAGTGATATAATGACAAATGAGCAAATTAGGAATAGCAATAAACAATTAAAATGGAAGATAAATAAAAAAGCAAAAGATTAGAAAAAAATCCAAGCTTTCCTTTTAAAATGGATCAGACTGAAACTTTGTTCACAAAGGGTGAACAAAGGGTATATACTGACTCCTGCAACTGTAAAAGCTAAGATTATATTGATAGATTAATGTAAATATTCAATTTGGCAAACTCAGGGGCAACATTTTTATAAGAGGAGCTTTATCCTGTGATTTATCTGAAATAAGAAATATTTTAATACATTTATGTATTTATGAATTATGGATGTCTACTTTTTATGTATTCAAACATTGCTGGTGCCTGCATAGAACCCCCAGATGAGTGTAACAAATAATAAACTGCCCTGAAGTTTTATATTTTCTACCTCAGTTTTATTCTAGAGTGAGGAGTGAGGCTCTTAGCAATCCTTCCCTACTTGCTCCTAGGTAAAGATGAGAATACAAGTGAAAGGGAAGCAGAACAACTAGGGAAAGGAAAGGAGACACTTAACTATTTCAGAGCTCAAACTGAGAAGACTGAGCTCATTAGTATACATGAGCCAAATAAAATGCTTTTCTTTATAAATTATCCAGCCTCAGGTGTTTGTTTATAGCAACTCAAATGGGACTAAGAAAAACCTAATACTATCTATTGAAGGGTAATAATTTATGAAAAAAGTTAACATACTAATATATATGAGTTTTTTGAAAGTCGAATAGCTTCAATATTAATCTTTTAATGTTTTTCTCACTCACTTGTATTCTGACATGATTTTTCTGAATGACAGAAAAAAGAGTGATATTATAGATACCCAAATATAGAATTGCATGTAATACTGAGTATATAAATGGACATTATGTTGCATTATTTGTTGCATGGCATTATTTGAATGCCATGTAATTCAACATGATGTCAAAGGAAAAAAAAACATGTTGAAATTTAGCTATAGGAAATAGGATGTAGATGGAAGTTGTTAAGAAAGAGAATGTTGGCCGGGCGTGGTGGCTCATGCCTGTAATCCTAGCTCTCTGGGAGGCTGAGGCGGGTGGATTGCTCAAGGTCGGGAGTTCGAAACCAGCCTGAGCAAGAGCGAGACCCCGTCTCTACTATAAATAGAAAGAAACTAATTGGCCAACTAATATATATAGAAAAAATTAGCCAGGCATGGTTGCTCATGCCTGTAGTCCCAGCTACTTGGGAGGCTGAGACAGAAGGATCGCTTGAGCCCAGGAGTTTGAGGTTGCTGTGAGCTAGACTGATGCCACGGCACTCTAGTCCGGGCAAGAGAGCGACACTCTGTCTCAAAAAAAAAAAAAAAAAAAAAAAAGAAAGAGAATGTTAAGATCCAGTATGGGTGGGGGGGGGCAGGGGCAAGATATGTAACCCTAACAACATTTGTACCCACAGAATTTGGGGAAAAAAATAAATAAATTAAAAAAAAAAAGATCCAGTATGGGTTTTAGAAAGCATAACTCATGACAGGAAGGGAGGATGGGCTGAAGCATCAAAGATCCAGGAGGGAGAACAGTCTGGAAGCTGCTGACTAGGAAATTTGAAAGGTAATATTTAAGGCAGATGTACAGAGGAAATAGGTTCAGTATGTATAAGAGACTGAATAGAATACATAGAGATTAAATTGAATAATATCCAAGAGTATGTCTTCAGTAGACAACCGAAAAGAAGTTTGAAATTTGGAAGTGGTGGTGTTGAAATCATAATAGATGAAATTTCTTCAGGGGTAGGTAGTGTGAAGGGAATTAAATAAAAAGGAGAAAAGACAGGAAAACTCCACATTTAATAGGCAGAAAGAGTAAGAACAGCCAGGAGAGAAACAGGAAAAGAAAATAAAAATGATGTTGCAGAGGTCAAGTGCTTAGCTTCAAGAAAAAGAGAATAGCTATGTGTCTATTTGGGGGTTACCAAAATATATATATATATAGTAAATAAATAAAAAAGAAGAGTAGCTTATTACACAGAATAAACTGTGAAGTTGTTGAGACATATTGTTAAAATCTTCTAGTGGTAAAGTACAAGATAATGCACTGAAAGAGACAGCAGCGAAACGTTTATCTACATAATAAAGAGCCATGAGCTATTAGTGTTTAAGAATAAGAGCTCTGAATTTAGAGGAACTAGGGCTGCAATCCCAGCTCTGCTATGGTGGGCAAGTTAAACTTGCTAAACTTCAGTTTTCAACCTCTAATGTATATAATGGTACTTATCTGCCTCATATGATTGTGGGGAGGAATAAATGAGATAATGTAAAGTACTTAGAACAGCCCTGGCGCACAGGAAGTAACTGAATGTTGGAAGCTATTATTAAAATCACTTTTACTAGGAAAGGAAAAGCAAATCACTGTAAATTATTGCCTGAAAGGTACTTTGCTGCTAGAGCCAAAAGGCCAACAAATGTTAAATATCAATAAGGATATAAAACAGGATCATACCTTTATATAAAAACTGTAGTACATCTTAACTGGAACCACTGTGTGGAATTATACAGTATTATCAAGATGGGAATTAAAATACAACACAACGAGACTTAATTGGGTCTTCAGTATGAGGGGGGAAAAAAACCTAAGAAAGGGACATGATAAAACTCTACACGAAAGACTCATCCAGATAAACAGAACTGACCAGTAGATGATGCCCTGTAGAATGTGCTGGCAGGCAAAACTCCTTAGTGAAGAAGTATGACTCATTAAGATGTTTAAATTTTCTTCCATAAAGATATTTAATCTCCTCTGCTTTAATCACTAAATAACATACCTCAATACTGATATTTATATCTTGACTGGTCAAACAGATATTCTAGAATATAAAATACTAGAGTTATTACTAGAGTCATCTAGTATTTTATAAATTTAAAAAATTGGTAATTCTGGTTTTAAGACTGAATAGTATAAAGTGAGTGATCTGATTTTGAGATACCACTGGAAAATCTGCAAGGCTAAGAGAAACCAGGCCTTAGATCATAAAGCATTCCTGTGAAGTCCCAGCTTAAATCAGGCATAAAAAGCCAAGGATGCTTTCTTCTTACTGTGGTTACTGCAGTGACATACAAGACCAAATCAAGTTTTTGTGATTACTCCTAAACTTTTTCACCCTTAGAAGAACTACTAGTTTACTAGTTAACTATCGAGACCTATGCTTGAAAGAAAATCAAAGGTAACAGGTGATGGAAAAAAAATAACTAACTGAGAGGCAAAGTTTAATTTTATTATGTAAATAACTGTATTTACCTATCTCTACATGCTTACTGGAAGCTGCTAACACAATATCAAAAATCTATGTTAAACAGTAAGTTAATCAGAAGAGTCAAGTAATAGAACTGTCAAGACCTATGTTTATGGATTAAAAATAACAGGATCAATATCACTATTTCATGGGTTTAGATGACAGTGTCCACAATTCACAGACTCTCCTTGTCTCAACAGGACTTGTTCAAGGAGTTTTGCCTACGGAGTATAGATCCAACTACAGACTAAGTATACTTAATCAGAAAAATCCAAAATGCTCCAAAATTCTTTTTTTGAGTGCCAACATGATGCTCAAAGGAAATGCTAATTGGAGAATTTTGGATTTTCAGATAATGCAAATATTCTAAAATCTGAAAAAATTCAAAATCCAAATGCTTTTGGTCCCCAAGCATTTCACATAGGAGATACTGAACCTATATTATGTTTTTATGGCATATCTACAGGCAATTAACACTCACAGTGATTCACTGATTTCTTCCTGCTACTTCCCTATGCTGCCAAGCTCATGTGCTCAGGGAGTAGAATCTACAATTTTAATGCTATACTCTAAGGAAAACATAATTAGTTTGTAAAATTACATGAAAAAAGCCAAAAATCCCACAGATACCATATAATGCCAACTATAGTTTTTTCTTAACCATTTAGAATCTAAGAAACTTTTTTAAAAGTTAGAATTTAACACAAGTTGTGTTAGAATTTAATACAACACAACTATAAATTATAATAAAGCCAAAGATTGTGTGTTAGATTAGGCAAGTCTATTTAAGCAGCTTGACTTTATAGTTGCATTAACACACAAAAATTAGAAGTACCTATATTAAATGATTCTGGCTGACAAGATAAAACAGCTGCCATGTCCCCCTGAACAATAAGAGCCCATAAATCAGGGAAATCAAAATATTAAACTAAGCACAAAATCTAAAAATACTGGCCGGGCGCGGTGGCTCACACCTGTAATCCTAGCTCTCTGGGAGGCCGAGATGGGCAGATTGCTCAAGGTCAGGAGTTCGAAACCAGCCTGAGCAAGAGCGAGACCCCGTCTCTACTATAAATAAATTAATTGTTGGCCAACTAATATATATAGAAAAAATTAGCCGGGCATGGTGGCGCATGCCTGTAGTCCCAGCTACTTGGGAGGCTGAGGCAGGAGGATCGCTTGAGCCCAGGAGTTTGAGGTTGCTGTGAGCTAGGCTGACACCATGGCACTCTAGCGCGGGCAACAGAGTGAGACTCTGTCTCAAAAAAAAAAAAAAAAAAAAAAAAAATCTAAAAATCCTTACTCTTCCATTCTAGGAAGACTTAGTGTAAAACCTTAGCTACTTTGCATCAAAAAGGTGTGACACAGTGCCCAATGAATGAATGAGAAAATCATATTTTAAGATGTCCATTACCAAATAATTCAAAATATAGAGTATTTGGTTTTAGTTATCTTGGACACCTTATTACCTAATAATGCTGATTAAATGGGACAAATCCTGAAACTTTAGGAATCTGTTTCAGAGAGTGAAAATACTCATTCCTTACACAAAGTGGCTTTCACTAGAAAAACCTAGATTTTCAATTCTAGGTTTGAATTCCTGGGGGGTAATTTAATAGCAACAACAACAAAGCCAACCCCAAAGGAATGTATTCTAACTTTTTCAGTATCTCATGAAATAAAAAACACAAAAATGGAATTCTGAAATTCTACTATTCTGCATATGGTGTGCACAGAAAAACCTAAGCACATCCCAGTTTTACTCAAGAGAAGCGGAGTTCAGGACTGCAATTTACCTATTGTTACAGTGTGTGGGGAGCAATCAAGACATGGCATTCCTCTTGAAATTTCAAAAAATTAATAGGAAAAAGCTACACACTGACTCTCTGGTTATCAGCACCAAGAATCTGAATGCTCTCTGGAAACTCAGCAATTTGGCAAGTCTTTGTACCCCTCAAAGACGTTCATTAGTGCCTGGAACCCACATAAAATCCATCTGAGGCATCAATTTTAGAGCCAGATCCTCACCTGCTCCGTCAGGATTAAAGAAAGGGTCAAATACAGAGACACCGGCTTTAGCATTAAACCCAAGCTCCACGCAGGGTGTGTCCAGGTTGCTGTGGAGCCCGACCTGCTGCCATGAGCGCGAGGGGGCCCCTTACTTTCACGAGATGACGTCTCCTGTGACTCCTTCCCCGCATGACAGGGCGCCTGGCAGGAGTCTTGCTGGGGGTGACAGGAGGGACACCCCGCCCCCTCCTCCCGGCAGGCCCTGAGACCCGGCCCCCGCCCTGACCAGGGCCTCCGCGACGGCCACCCGCTCGACGTCTGTTAAGCCTGGCGTGTAGCTGGGCTCTCGGCCCCCATCCCCGGTCGTTACGGGACAGGGAAAGGGGTTCCCAGTCCCAAGTCGAATAGGAGGAGCCACCAGGGGCCGGGCCCCTCCGCCGCGGTCTTACCCGCCGCCGCCGCCTACACGCTGCAGCCGCCCCGCTTCCTTGCGGAGCAGCCCGAAGCACTGCGTCCAGCAGCAGTTCCCCATCGCATGCCGCCCAGGCGCTGCTGCTCTGCCTCCTCCCGCTCAAAGCCCAAACCCAGGCCCGGCAGCCGCATCCGCGCGGCACGGGCCACGGTGGGGTTCGGGGACCGAGGGCGGGCCGGCCGGAGCGCGGCGGCGGGAGGGTCTGAGGAGACGTGAGGGATGAGGCGCCCTGAACAAAGGCGGCGGTTACTCCGGCGGCAGCCGCGCCGCCGCCGCGCGAGAGATGAGCGCAGGGCTGCGGGCACTGGACCCCCTCGCTGTCCGCATGGCCCCTATCGCCTCAGCTCCCAGGCCAGCACTAGTGACCGCCTCCAGCTGTCGAGGAGGCCAGTCCCCGCGAGCCGTGAGCCGCGGCCCCGCCTTCCCGCGCGCCCAGGCCCGCGCCTCGCCGTCGACGCCGCCACACCTCCGGCCTCTCCCGGGCCCCAATTGGGCGCGCTTTCCTGGAGGCCCCGCCTCTTCCGGGGACCGATCCTTACGTCACTTCCACCAGCGCTTGCTTCCGCAGCTTCAACAGTGGAGGTAGCTCGCTCGGTTCCTGGGTGTGGATACTGTTTGTTGGACCTTGACCTGACTAGAAAATTTCCTCCTCTCCTTGCGGTTTCCAGCCTCTTAGTCCGGAGCGCGCCGGGTGTAGCAAAGTTAAGGCTTAACCTTCGAACTTTGTACCAAAGTCTTGCGAGCGACTGACGTAGAGCCCCAGGAGGTCATGGAGAGCGTGAAGGGGCATTGCTCTGCCCCGTGTGCTTATTTTTGTTAACATTGCACCGTAAATGGGAAATAGAGTCAGGGTAGCTGATTGAAGTTACGTTGAACGCACCAAGAATTTTTTTTTTCCAATCTCTGGTTTGTGTTTCAATCTTAATACTGTCAACATTGTAGGGAATCTTATTAATGGTGCACTACTGGCCTAATTTTCTTTTATTAAAATCACATTTTCAACTAATTTAGGGCGGAAAGTTGGGGTCCAGAAGAAATGGGCAAGAGAGCTGGTTTTTCAGGGGTGTCAGCCTTCCTGATCCAAGCGTGCGGCCCAGAACTGTTGTAGATGTGAAGAGAAAGCTGTCTGCAACCCGGTCCTCAAGTGCTACTTTAAAGCTCAGTTTTTGTCTGCAGTTGGCCTTAATATTGGACATAAGGCATGGTTTAGTGGACGCCCAGTCCAGTGGATATGAGGATGCTCTTAGGGACTAAGGAGACACGTCAATAGCCTGTTTTAATTAAACCTAGTGAAATTGTTATAGTTTAGAAAATTGTTATTAATGATAAAATGTCCTTTGAACTACTCATTTTCTTGCTTCTTGAAATCCAGACCTATGTGGATTTCAATCCTAGCAATGCTACTTAACTAATTTTATTTGTATCTTAGTTGTTTTAATAGTCAAGAGCATAGGATAATATTTGGCCCAGTGGTCTGCTCTCAGTGAATATTGGGGGAATGACTGAACGACTTCCTGAATAGTGATTGCATTTTCTTTCCCCTTCCAACCTGTGAAATTAGGCAAATATATTAGTGAAATAGTCTTTACAATTCAACTATAGATGTTTAAAGAAACTGGTACATTCATCCTATGGAATACCATTCAGCAACAAAAAAGAACACACTTAATGAACGCACTTTGAATGAATCTGCAGGAAATTATGCTGAATGAAAAAACCAATCTCAAAAGCTTACATGTTGTATAATTCTATTTATATAACATCCTAGAAATGAAAAAATTATAGAAATGGACAACAGAATAAGTGGTTGCCAGCGGTTAGGGTATGGGGAGTGGATCCTTGTGCTGGAAATCCTACATCTTGGCTATATTAATGTCAATATCTGGTTGTCATATTGCACTATAGCCTTGCAAGATGTTACCATAGGGGGAAACTAGGTTAAGGGTATATGTGGTTTATGTTATTTTTTACCGCATGTGACACCACAATTATCTCAAAATAAGTTTGATTAAAAAATATAGCTATAGACTTGATAGAGTATTCTTATAAACCTTTATTAAAAGTAAATCTTGGCTGGGTGTAGTGGCTCACACCTGTAATCCTAACATTCTGGGAGGCTGAGGCAGGAGGATTGCTTGAGCTCAGGAGTTCAAGACCAGCCTGAGCAAGTGTGAGACCCCATCTCTACTATAAATAGAAAGAAATTAGCCAAAACAACTAAAAATAGCAAAAATTAGCATGGCATGGTGGCGCATGCCTGTAGTCCCAGCTATCTGGGAGGCTGAGGCAGGAGGATCGGGTGAGCCCAGGAGTTTGAGGTTGTTGTGAGCTAGGCAGATGCCATGGCACTCTAGCCCAGGCAAGAGAGTGAGACTCTGTCTCAAAGAAAAAAAGTAAATCTCACTTAAAAGATAATTTAAAAAATCAAATTCACTAAGCAAAATAATGCAAATTAAAATGCAATGAGAAATCATTGTTCACTTGTGAAGTCAACAAAGATTTACAATGAAATGTTCAGTATTTGCAAGGGTACAGTGAAATGGTACTCTCCTAAACTGTTGTGGATAGTGAAACTCATTCTGAAAAATCATTTGGAAATATTTATCAAGAGTCAGAAACAAACTAAATGCTCAAGAATTGAAGGATGGTTAAATTTGCTGGTATATTCTTATAACCTTGTGTAGCCATTAAATACTTTGGGAAAAACTTTAATGTGGAAAATGCTGGCTGAATAATGTATGAGAAAATCAGGATAGAAATGTAGGAGATAAATTACTAAGATAATCTAAGAGGTTATTGAAATTTATCATCATGCACTTTTTCACCGAATTTGACATCAAGAATCTTATCTTCATTTAATGTAGCTTTAAACTTTTTAATCATTCTGCTATTAAGCAAAATTAGCAGGAAGAAACCCCATAACTGGAAGGGATATTCATGAGGTATATGAGCTCCTTTGTTTTGCAGTTGAGAAGGAGTACTATCAGAGGAATTAAATGGTTTTCCCAATGTCATACAATGAATTAAAAGAGTTAACATGAAGAAAAGTCAGGCCTCCTCTCAATAAGGCTTGTGCTCCTGCCATGGTACTGTACTGCTTACCCAACCCTTATGTTTGGGCATGGGTATAAAATCAGTAAAGATCATAGTCAGATATATTCTGATAAGATTTATGTGTTTAATTCATCACCTATAGAAAGTTTATGTGACAATTGGCCAGGCAGAATATCCAATTTACCACTAAGAGACACACACACTAGATTTTCTACAGTGATGACCACTTAATGTCACCCCACCTGCCCACCTTCCAGGTAACAGAACCTCTCTCCTTCCCCATCCCTTTCAAAATTCCCTTCTCTCTAGTATTTTATTCTAAAGTTGAAGGGAGAGTTTTTCTCATAAATGCTCTGGAGTCGGTCAGGATTCAATGTGTACCTCCAACTGTCTTCTGGATTATGTGGTTCCAAATCTGAATCTCTTCTCTTTGCTCAGAATTTTTTCTCTATTGGCTATTTATTACTTTTTCTTTTTTTGAGACAGAGTCTCATTCTGTTACTCTGCTAGAGTGCAGTGGCATCAGCACAGCTCACTGCAACCTCAAACTCCTGGGCTCAGGTGATCCTCCTGCCTTAGCTTCCCTAGTAGCTGGGACTACAGACATACACCACTGCACCTGGCTAATTTTTTAAAATTTTTTTGGTAGAGATGGGTCTTGTTCTTAATCAGGCTGGTCTTGAACTCCTGAACTCAAACAGTCCTTCTACCTCAGCCTCCCAGAGTGCTAGGATTATAAGCATGAGCCACCATGCCTGGCCTATTTAGTTTTTATCATTTTGAGATCAGTTGTTACTATGTTCATTCTAGAGATTGTGATCCCTGCTCAGGGAAGAATTCTGTGCTTTCCATTACCACACTGGTCCAAACATTAACATAAACTCATCTTTTTAATTCATTGGGTCATAGTTTAGGTTATCAAAACTTACACAGGGTACTAGGTATGACCACTATAAAATGGAGATAATGGGATAATAAAATTTACCTTTGTTGTCAGGAAAGATGATTAAGCACCTATCAAGTGCTTAGAATAATACAATTATACTATTATTCCCATAATATATATATATACACTATAGTATACTATATATACTATAATTATCTATAATACTATACATACAAATGTTAGCTATTATTATTATCCACAGACTGAAGGAGATTCTCATCAACAAATTATACTTTCCTCTGTAACTACATACCTGGCATCCTGTGAAAAAGGCTAGTGGTTTCAAAATTCAACCTCTTAAACATGCCCCCAGGCACACTCCACACCATTCCTTAAAGCTAGACTCCAAGAAAATGTGGCCTAGACAGAAGAAAAAAGTTTCATAACTCACAGGCATCATCTGTCCCATGCTCTTCCACTTTCCTAGATCATTAAAAGTGAGAATATCCACTGATTTAAGGGAAAACCTTGTTCCTTACCAATTAGCAGTGTCTTGTCCTGGTAACCCAAATAGAATCATTTCATCTTAATATGACAAACTAGTATTATTATTGTTATGAAATTCTTATTTATTCAATCTTAAATACACAAAACCATGTGAAAAATCTATAGTACAGTTCAGGTTTAAATTGACCCAGCCCCAGTACTGCCTAATTCTTTTGTATATATTTACCTCTATTACGAGCAAGAATTTAGGTGCACTAAGTCTAGTTTCAGCTACTCTTAGCACCCAATAATAGCTTGTACAAGAGCACAGTTTCACAAGAATAAATAACACTTCACAGGCACCCCACAACTCAAATTCTTCCTTAAAAAACAAACGTGTCTCCAAAGGAAAAAAAAAAAAAATAGAACTAATGCTTCCTATAATGTAAATAACTTTTTATATTACCATACAGAACATTTAGCCCTTTAAAATCACTACTCTCAAATTTCTGTATTTCTTATAATGTTCTTTTTCTTTACTTTTGCATAACTAAATAGTTAAGGGACTATTTGAATGATTTTCCAAAAAAAAAAAAAAGGCACACAAAGTTGTGGTTAATGATACAAGGGAAAATTACTTAACTCTTGGCTCAATCAGCAGCATCCCATTTTTTTCTGGCTTTTGGGTTTGTGATAAGCTTCACTGATTGGTCAGTATCACTGAGCACAATGCACGCTAAGTGATTTGCTTCCTTCTTTGCTTACCCAACATTCACATTTCACAAAGAGAGGGATAAACAGAAACAGTTATATGATTAACATACAGTCCTTCCACTGGGCAGAATTTGTTTCATATCTCTTGCTTAGTCAGAAAACACATAAGTAATTTGAACAGGGAAAATTTACAAGGAATCATGAAGTAGGTCAGTGGTGATTAATGCTAGGAGGAAACTCTAAGGTCAAACAGATGTAG